CAGGCGTCCAGAGTGTCCACGGGCCCCGAGGAGCAGAGCTCAGGCCTCTGTCCCCACCGCACCCCGGCCAGCAACTCAGGCCACCCCCTCCTGTGCACAGGCCGCCCGGGCCCAGAGACCGGGGCCCAGCCCCCCACCTGCGGGCACTCTCGGCAAAACGCGGAGCAGCTGCTGGGGAGAGCTGGCTCCAGGCAGGTGGGGACCACCTGCCTCCACCTCCCGCCCCTTCCTTAGACCCTCCCCCCTCCAGGAGAGTGGAGGCCGGGACAGGGTCTACTCCAGAAGATCGAGTCTGTCCACTCTGCCTTAGCCAGATGTGCTGTCACCTGCCCCCCCCGGGGAGGTCACACAATCCCTGCAACACTGTCACCCATGAGCTGGATGGCTCTGGGCCTCTCCAGGAGAGGGGAGGAGATGAGAGGGGAGGGGAGGGGAGGGGAGGCGAGGGGAGGGGAAGCTGCCGCATGATGCACCCCTTCCAGCTCCGTTTCCAGCCACTAGGACATCCTGCCCTGTGTCGCTGCTATGCCCTGCCCCGCGTGCAAGAGACCATCTCCTCCCATCAGGTGGGGCCTGAGAGGCCCTGAGGTGGGGGGAACGGGGTCCACCGGCCCTGCGTCGTCACCCTGGTGTCGTCGTGGGGACCCTGGCCCACCTCCCGCTCAGGCTCAGGGTGCAGGGCTGCTCCCAGGCCTATGGGCACCAGAGGCTCCCTCGGGCAGCTCCCTGTGGACCAGGCGCGGGCCTGTCTGGCAGGTCTGGGTGGAATTTCAAGCACCGCGACTCAGCCCCTGCCTGGCGCTCCTCGCCCAGGCCTGAGTCTGCAGAGGGCCTGCTCACTGTGTGGCTCCGGGGGCCCTGCTGCACGATTTAAAGCCCCCCAGCCAGCACTGCGGGGCCACAGGGGAACGAGCCAGCGGTGTGTGCGGGGCAGGGCACAGCATCCACGGACCCCGGAGCCGGTTCAAACCCCAGCTCCGCTTCCTCCGGGTGGCTGGGGAGCATGACATGATCTCTTTGGGCCTCGGTTTCCCCCTTTGGACAGCAGGCCGGGACTGGCATTAATGCCTCGCTCGAGCACTGGCCTCTCCCGGCCCCTAGAATCTCAGGTCTTGTCTCCTAACCTCACCAGGTGAGCTCCAGCCCCCAGCCTCGAGGTGGGGCCCCTCCTAAACTCTTGTCATCTGCACTCAACACGCAGCCACCGAGCAGCCACCCCCGTGCCCCTGGCCATCACTTGGGGGTGGCCCAGAGCCCAGGCGGGCCCTCAGAACAAGCTAAGGGGTCCCAGCATCCCAGCACCTGCGGCCAGCCCTGTTCAGTGGGTTCCCACAGCCAGTGCAGGCCAGCGGATGTCACCACGTCCACCGGCCGAGTCCTCCTGGTGCTTTGATGCTTGACCTCAGGTCCAAAGAGGCTGCTGAGAGCCACACTCCACGGTCCAGTCTCCCTCAGGCAGCTTCAGAAGCCTCCGGCTGGCCCCGACCCCTGGGTTCTCTTGGGGTCACAGTCAAGGACACTCCTGGGTTCCACCCCCAACTCCAAGAGCTCAGAGCATCGTGCCTCTTCTGTGCTCTGTGAGCAAGAATCGCCAGTCGGGCCGGCCTTCCGGTCCGGCTCCCATCATGCGGTGGCACAGCATGACGGCCCCTGGGGGCAGCCGCCACCCCTCCCAGCAGGGACACTGGCAGTGGCACTTGGGGGTTCCCAGCGGGGGGGCTGTTCGGTGGGTGTTGCTGCAAACACTCGTGTGCATATCGTCAGCGCAAACGGGATGAGACGGCGCTCCCTTGGGCCGCCAGGGCAAGGACTCGGGCACAGCCTTGTGTGATGGGGCCACGGGCAGCTTTGAGCGGAGGCTTCGAGGGCCTCGAAGGGCCCAGTGCTGTGCAGAGAGTGTGTCCTCATGGGAAGGGGGGTGACTTGGGCCCCCGTGGGCATAGCAGGAGAGGGAAGGTGGGGTCTGGGTGGATGTAGGAGGCCGACAGGCGGCTGTGGGATGCCAGCAGGAGACGGGCCAGGAGCACCAGGAGCTCAGCCACCTGCTTGCGGGGTCCAACGGACCCCAGGGCTCCTTGGGCTGAAGCCCAGAAGAGGCCACCTCCCCTGGCCTGGAGGTGAGATCCAGAGGAAGAGGGTGGGGTCCGGCCCCAGGTGCACCTGGGAAGAGTCTGTTCCTTTGGAAGAGTCCGTCCGGCGGGGCCTCGTCCGTCCCGCGGGGCTGCCAGCAGCCTGGGTAAACACAGGCCAGAGTCCAGATGACCATCCACAATTACTCGGGGCGAACTCAGGGAGAAGGGGCGCTGGGGCCTCAGCACCCCTTAATACATGCACACACAGCATGGCACACACACATACAGGCACACACCACACGTGCAGTACTCGTGCACAGTACACGCACATACACGTACACACATACCACACGTGCAGTGCGCACACCACACGCACACACAGGGCGTTCACGGCGCCCCGCCTGGCCCAGGACGGAGTGCAGCCTGAACGCTTGGCAGCCCAGAGCAGAGGTCTGGGTCGGAGGCCCGCACTCGCTCCAGCAACTGGCAGTGCCCCCTCCTCTCAGAGAAGCACCTGGAAGAGAGACCTTCCCAGAAGGGCTCTGCATGTTGCAACCAGCTCACGGGTTAACAGAGCATGTAATGGGTGCCGGGAGCCACTGCAGACCAGGCCTGGCCCAGCCTCCTGACCTGTGGCCCAGCCTCCCGGGCCCGGGACCAATCTGTGGCCACAAGGGCAGTGGCAGGCAAGGGGAGGTGGGGGGTGGCACGGGGACCCACGGCCCTGTGAGCCCACTCCTCTCAGCTGCCCGCCCGCCAGAGACCTCTGCAGGCTGCCCAGGGCCCAGAAAGGCCTGGAAGGGAGGGAGGGCAAGGGCATCCAGGCCCCAGCCCCCGGGGCCCCTCAATTCTGATCTCAGGCAGTGGACCCTCAAGGTGTGCACGGCCCAACCAAGTACCTCTGAGGACCTGTGAGGAGGAGGGGGTGGGGCCAGCAGTCAGTGGGATTCCTGCCCCCTCCCCAGGACCCTGTGGCCTCTCAGTACGGGGCCCGCTTCCCTGGGCAGATGAGGCTGGTGTGTGTGTTTCTGCAGATCTGCGCCTGCATACACAGACCCTTCCCCAGCCAGAGTGACCTCTCCCCACGCCTTCCTCTACAGGCTGGGGACAGAGGGCCGGTAGAGGCCAGGGGGCCATTTCCTGTACCCTGAGCACAGAGGGGCCTGGGCCAGAGCCCTCGGGAGCCATGGAGAGCTTCATGGAGTCACTGAACAGGCTGAAGGACGTCCATGAGAACGAGGTCCGGGGTGAGTGCCACGGGGGGCGGGTGTCCACAGCCCTCACCTGGGCCAGGTCGGGGTGCTCCTCCACAAACCTCCAAATCTTGCCAGACCTGGGGGCCCTGCCTTCCAGGCCCAGATGGGGAGTCCTGACCCAGAGCCCAGAGGAGGCAGGCGCCCAGCCTCAGATCAGCATCCCTGAGTGTGGCCCTGCAAGGTGTTCTCCCAAAGGGTCAGCCGACAGCAGAGCAGAAATAAAAAGCCAGGCCTCCAACAGAAAGCCAGACGCTTGGGTTGAGATGAGCCCCTCACCCAGGGCGGGGCAGGGGTGCCCACCTCCAGGGATGGATGGAGGCCCATCAAGAGCATTCCAGGGTTTAGAGCTGAAATCCTGCTCCCCGACAGGACCCCCGAGGCCAAGATCTGCTCCAGCCCACAGGCCTGTCCACTCCACCCCCCATCACGGGGCTGGGGCCAGCGTACTCCCCTCACTCTCGGCCGGCCCACAGCCCTCACACACCACCCTGAGGGCCCGAGGGGCCCGGATCTCTTCCCCGGTGACCTGGAGAGGTGGGGACTGCGTGGGCCCAAGTCAGACTCCAGCCCAGTGGCAAGGGCTTCCCCAGAGAGCGTGTTTTATTTCCACACTGGCTGTGCCCCCAGGAAACACCCCTCAAGGACTCGGCCCGGTGGGATGGCCTTGGGGAATCAGTGAGGGGGTCCAGGCAGGCGGCGGGGGTCCACAGAGGGCCCTGCCTGACAGCCAGGGACAGGGGGTGACCCCCACCCCTTTCCTGGCTCCCCTAGGTCTGCAGAATAAACTCCTGGAGCTGAACTCCGAGAGATGCCGGTGAGTCAGGACAGACCCTGGCCCGGTGGGAAACCAGTGGGAAACACAATGACCACAGTCCATGGCGCTAACACTGCCCCCATCCAGCGATGCAGAAGGGGAAACGGAGGCTCGGGGCTGGGGGCGGGGCTGAGTCACCGGCTTCGAGTAGCTGCTGCAGCCAGGACTGGAACCTCCAAGCCCCGCCGAGCGGACAGGGGCCCTCCGGTGGGGGGGGCAAGCCGTATCCGCTCGGGGCACCCAGGGCACCAACAGTGAGACCCCCAGGGCCCGCGGGGCAGGTTTTCACATCGCCACTTCACAGACGGCCGCACTTCTGTGCCACCGCCAGCAGCGCGTGGACGCGGCCGGTCACCAAGGTGGCCACGAACGCTCGCGTTTGGGCCGCTGGGCCAGCACCGCCCTCGTAAGGCCGGGCCCTACTAGCGTTCCCGGCAGGTGCACCCCGCAGGACCCGGCCCGGGACTCACCCCGGCAGGAGGGGCCTCCCGGGCAGAGCAGAACCCGCGCCTCGGCTCGCCCCCCACAGGGACGCCCAGAGGGTGGAAGAGCTCTGCACCAAGAACCATCAGCTCAGGGAGCAGCAGAAGGCGCTGAAGGAGAACGTGCGGGTGCTGGAGAACAGGTGAGTGGACAGGGGTGGGGCGGGAGGGCAAGCGGACCGCCGGGAGGCCTCGCGCTCTGGGGGACTGAGCCAGGCGGTGCCGCCCGAGCCCTGAGCAAGAGGCACTTCCGCGGCTCCTTCTCACGCTCGGCAGAACAGGGAAGGCTTAGCCCACGTGCCGGGCCTTCCGCAGTCAGGGGAAGGCAGGGCCGCGTCCCCGGAGCAGGGCAACGAGGGCCCCAGCCCCCTCTGGGGGCCCCGGTCTCCGTCCTGAGAGCGGCCTCTTGCCCCCGCCCCACACCGCAGGCTGCGAGCTGGCCTGTGCGACCGCTGCATGGTCACCCAGGAGCTGGCCAGGAAGAAGCAGCAGGAGTTCGAGAACTCGCTCCTCCAGAACCTGCAGCACGCCGTCCTCCTCAGTGAGCCCCGCCCCTGTCACCCTGCACCTTGCTGTGCCCCACCCCGTCCTCCTCAGGGAGCCCTGGCCCGTTACCCTGCACCTCTCTGTCGCCCCCCCCCAGGGGGGTCCAGGGACCCCCAGGACCTGCTCGGCCTGACATGGGGGTCTCGGGGAAACAGACAGTGATACAAAAAAGCCCCAGCGGGCCCCGGCATGTCCCTCACTGGTCAGTCACCTGGGCTGGGGGTGCCCCCGACCTCGGGACGCAACCCCTCCTTCCTGTGATGAGGACAGTCCCACAGAGTCCGGAGCCCCCACCTGCCAATGAGGAGGACAAGCCGCCTGTCCCCCAGGGGGCGCCCCAGGGACAAGCTTCGTTGCGGGGGGCGGGAGGGGGGGTCCCCAGCACTTTTGACGGCCTCCACAGCCTGGTGCTGTTTACTCAGTAGCGTGCAACCACGCACTCACACAGCAAGCACTTACGGGGCGCCTGTGGGCTGCCAGACCCCGGGCCGAGTGCTGGAGTCACAGCTGGGAGACAGGCCAAGGAGGGGGACTTCCCTGGTGTTGTGGGGACCCTGCCTCTGCCCTGCCTCTCCTCCCCCAGTTCTTCACCGATAAACGCATTTTGCAGCCAACGAGTTGAACCGGCTGCAGGGGGAAAACGAGACGTTGAAGGAGGAGATAAAGCGGCTTCGGGGCCCACGGTGAGTGGGGGAGGTGAGCACCCACACTCCCCAACCCCCCCATGGGAGGCCCCCGCCACTGGTGCAGAGAGGAGGGCACAGGACCCCGGGGGGTCCCCACAGGCCATCCCCACGGCACAGACTTCTAACCTCTCATAGTCCAACAAGTGGGGGCCTGGGGGACACCCTAGAAACTGAGCTGGGTCCCCAACACCCGCGGCAGCCATCAAGGTCTTAGCCCTGCAGAGCCACGGACGGCGGAGTCTCAGGCAATGTCAAGAGCGAGGGCTTTCCTGGTCACCTGAGCGTCCCCGCAGGGGTGGCTTGTCCCCCAGGAGGGTGCGCCCTGGCCTTCCTGGTCCTGGCACCGCCCTTGCTCACCCTCCCTGTCTTTGCCTCCCCTCCGGAGTCAGGCTCAAGCCCCAATACAGGGAGGGCGCCTCAGACCCCCCCTCGCCCCTACTACTCCCCTCCCCGGGCGCTCGGAAGGCCGCCATCGAGAAGACATCGGGAGGCCACGAGGAGGCCGAGGACGACCATCCAGGTGGGAGTCCCCAGAGGGGAGGTGCTGTGAGGGACAAGAGGCCAGAAAGTTGGGCACCACTGGGGAGCCCTCTGGCCGGAGGACGGAGCTGCCCACCCCTCTGAGTGCCTCCTAACCGGCCCTGCCCACTGCTTCTCCTCCCACAGAAAAGTCCACGGGGTACAGGACGCCTCCAGTAGCCAAAATCTCCCCAAGCGCCAGCCTGCCCGAGACGCGGGCCCCAGACACGGTGAGCACGAAGGCCCCCGAGCCTGCTCCCTCTTCCAGGCAGCCCCAGGCTCTGTGCCGGGCACGGCGCCCAGCCGCACGCGGCAGGTGGGCCAGCCAGGGACTGCCGGGTGGAGGCGAGGCTCAGAGCGGGCGGCTAACTTGCCCAAAGTCACAGAGAACAAGGGCAGAGGCTGGCAGCCGCCCCCGCCCAGGCTGACGCGTCCACCCGGCGCAGAGCCCCCAGCGGATCTCCAACCAGCTGCACGGGACCATTGCCGTGGTGCGGCCTGGGTCCCAGGCATGCTCCGCCGACCGGGGCTCCACCAACGGGACACCCGCACTGCCGCTCACCGGGAGCAGCCCCCCCAGCCCACCCAACGAGCACAGCCTCCCCCTGGACAGGTGAGGCCCTGCCCGCCACCGCCACCCCAGCAGAGCGCCCGGTCTCCAAATCTGGTCCCGCTTTTCAGGAGGCGGCCAGGGCAAGGGGAGGGGGGTGTGGGGGTAGCAGATGGGGACTGAGCCGCGGGAACCCTCTCGGAAGTGGTCTAAGACCGACCATCCTCAGTGTGTGAGAGCATCGTGTGGTCGGGACACAGGGGCTGGGGCCGGAGCAGGCAGCTAAGGCCGGGAAGAGAGAAAGATCTCCGTGTGCAGCTCCTTCCTCAGAGCCCCGGGCCCCAGGTCACTTCTGGCCCCTCCACGACCGTGCGCGCGGGCCTGCCCTGCGAGCTGGGGCAGCTGGGCTGTGAAATGGGGGCTAACCCAGGGCTTCTCCTCTCCCTGCAGCTTTCTGCGGGCCGCCCGGCACCCGGTCACGACCTACGAGTCCCTGAAGCGCTCCCTCCGGGCTGACCGCCTCTGCCTCCTGAACCGCCACCTGGCCCTGCACCTTCAGAGCCCCCACGGCGGCCCCCAAGTCCCCGCCTCAGCCCCCAGCGGCCCCCGGACCCAGGGCCTGAAGGCTGGAGAGGCAGAGGCCTGGGAGGAGCCCATGGGCCCGCTGGGCCTCCCGGGGGGCCCAGTGGACATGCGACACCCTCGGCTGGAGGGACAGCAGCTGCGGGCGCAGGGGCGGATGGGCGGTGCCAGGCTGAGGGGCCCGGCCCCGCCGGGGGGCACCCCACCCTCCCCACCAGTCAGCTCTGACTCAGAAGGCCCCCAGGGCGAGGCAGCCCTGTGCGGAGGGGGACACGCACAGCCCACCGGTCCAGGTAGCCCCAGGGGAAAGGAAGCCACAGCCACACAGGACTATGTCCCAGACAAGCCCCTGGACCTCTCGGAGCGCGGCCGGGGCCGGGATGCCCCCAAGCCTCCTGACCAGCCGGGGTCACTCAGCCCCCCAGCTGCCCACACTCCCAGCCCAGAGCCGCCCCACGGAGCGGAGCCTCCTGCCCAGCCTGTACCCTGGGGACTCAGCAATGGCACCAAGGGAGCCAGAGCTCCAGAGGCAGAAGGACCCCCAAGTCCTGCGGTAAGGGGCCCACCCCTGTTCTCGGCTTCCACGCGCCTCCAACCCAGGCCCGGCATCCAGCCAGGCCCAGGCCGTGCTCCCCCCTCTTTCCGTCAGGTCGGTCCCCAGTGGCACAGCCTGGCTGCCTGATTCACGCTTAGAGGCGATGCTACCCTCCAGCTGCCGTCAGCCAGAGCCTGCTGGGCTGTGCCCAAGGCTGGGCTGGGGGCAGGGCTCAGATGAACTCAGCTGCTTCCTCGCTTCCCCCCCAGGATCCCTCCCAAGCTCTTCCAGGGCCCCACCCCAACGTGCCCTCTCCAAGCGGGACGGGAGATGAAGCTAGGGGGAGACCAAAACCTCCCCCCCACCCACACGGGCCCGATGCTGATGGCCACCCAGGTAGGATGAGTGCCTACACATCATCAGGAGCACCTGGGTGCGGTAGTGGGACGGGAGGGGCCGTGGTCAGTGGCCGCCGAGGAAGCCCGTCCTAGGGCCCAGCTCAGCCCCCTGGACCTGCTCTGCCAAACCCTGGGTCTAGGGCTTGGCACCCCAGCTGCAGTCCCAGAAAAGAGTTGGGGGCCCAGGGCAGGCACATCTCTGATCATAGGCAGTGAAGGGAAGACCATCCTAGCAATTAGGGCTGCAGGGCAGTTTC